CACAACCATGACTCAGCAATGAAGCACTGAAACACAACCATGACTCAACAATGAAGCACTGAAACATAACTATGACTCAACAATGAAGCACTGAAACAACCATGACTCAGCACATCACTCACTTCTGAAGGAAGATATTGACTGATAGCGATGCTTCTGAGTTTAGATGCTGCTGTTGATGATGCTGATGATGTAAGTTCTGTCAGTGATGAAGATCTTGTTGATGCAGAAAGAAGAGTTTTGGGGCAACGGGAGGGATGGCGTTTGTCTCCACCGTCTGCTCTCGAAGTCACGGAGGAGGAATAAACGCAGTACGGTCCTCGCCTCCTGGCGTTTGTTGGTTGATCTCAGAGACGTTTGAAGAGTCGTAGAAAAACAGACCGCTGATAAAACTCTGCTTTTCTCTCAGTTCACCAGCAACAACGTTCCTTCGTTCGCCTCCATCGTGGCTCACGAACTCGGACACAACCTGGGGATGAACCACGATGACGGGCGCGCCTGTAAATGCCCGGTCTCCGCCTGCATCATGAACTCCGGAGCCACGTAAGACTCCGACATCTCTTTTTGTTCTCCTTCCAAGCAGCCTCAGTTTCTCGTAGTCCTTTACGTGTTCTTGCTCATCGGTTGGCCAGACTTTCTGAACGTTCTTCACGGTTTTTCTTTGGATTTTACTTGGAGTTTAGGAGCTTTTTTATGAGGGTTGGAGTCCGACCACTTTAAAACATGACAGAAACATCTGGAGGCCTAAAAGGAAACTAAGAAAAATTTGCCTTTATTGCTAACATTGATGAAAGCTTAATGAAGGTGGCAACATCTGCTGAAGCTGAAACCAAATCGTTAAAGAGAAAGCAATTAGAACAAATAACTAAAACCAGCAGAACAGTAGCTACAAGCTAACATTAGCAAAACAGAATCCAAAACTAGGCGAACTAGCCGAGTCAGCAGTTTCTGTAGAACACGTTCAGACTCAACATTTCTTTCTGCAGAGGATCCAGAAACTTCAGCAGCTGTAGCGCGGATGATTTTGAGAAGATGATCTTGTTGACAGGAGGGACGTGTCTCCTGAACGTCCCTCGACCCGATGAAGCCTACAGCGCCCCCTTCTGTGGAAATGGGCTGGTTGACGTTGGGGAGGAGTGTGACTGCGGCTCTGAAAAGGTCAGACTATTCTGAAATACTTTTATTTTCATAATGAACTACCAGTAGTCACTTCACCACTTGCTCTTGTCAAGGACGGACGTCTCCTCCTCTCCCTCCTCTGCTTTGCTTTTACTCTGTCCTGTCTGTGGAACTGCTTCAGAGCCTCTCTCTACATATCTTCTGAACTATAATTTTTGCTATGGATCTGGTCAGCTGGTCCATCAACGCAATTGATAAAATTGTTTCGACAAGAGAACAAGCTTCAGGCGAGCCGACTTGCCGCACGCAGCTGGATATGTCATTGATTCCTGGAGTGATTGGAAGGTGATGTGTCTATCTCTGCTGTCCATCGAGGATGTTGAAGATGCATATATAATTGGATTTATGATAACAGGTTTCCTGCTTTTTGGAATCGGCTGGTTCCTGGTTTATCAACAAACAAGGAAGTCGTCGCCAACAAATTTGGCCCTGGTCAGGTTGCCGGCCTTACGTGATGGTTTGCTCCGTGCCTCAAGCGCCCAGACTCTATTGCTTTGCGAACTGAATGCTGGCAGGATGGATCATATCTCGGGGATTTCTCTCAGGCACGGACCAGCGGTGTGTCCACTTAATTTGTACGTTTGGGATTCATGAGGACCAGCAAAGACTCAAGGCAGACATGAATCGGTAAAGTTCTGCCTGTTTCCAAAACAAACATTGCTTTTCTGAATTCGGCTCCCTGGCTGGCCTTGACAGGCCACCGTATCTCAGTTCGCCTGGAAGCCCTGTAAATTCGATGCTCTGCCCCCCTCCCACCGAGGAAGTCTGTGGACCTATTGGAGGGACCCGGCTGAATAAACGTGTCATCATTTCAGGACTCTTGGATTCTCTCTGGCACCCTGGGTCGACCTCGGCACCCCTCGAGAGTGTTTACGGATCTCACCAGAGGAAACTGGCAGAATATACCATTCTTATCAGAACTCCTGCAGTGCCTCTGGAGTGTCCTTGGACACGCTCACCACTCTTGTTGTCTCCCCTCCTCTGCAGAATGGCTGTGTCTTTATGTGTCTATGTGCGGGGTGTTTTTTTTATTTTTTTATTTCAGGCTCTCTTCTCAGCCAAGGAGTGAGAGTTTGATAGGATTTTTTTTTGCCTCCACATCCTGTACGTGTGTCACTTTCATCACTTTTTGTCTGTCCCAACAGGTCTCACTTGTAAATGAGTCTTTGAGGCTCAATGTGATTTATCTGAATAAATAAAGGTTGAATGAACTAGATAAATTAATTTCATGTGAAAATGCAGTGTGAATGCTTATTGCAGAAGAACTTGCTGAAAAACAGCTGAAATTGGCTAAAAACACACATATTTACAGAATTAGGTTTAAATAAACAGAAATTAGCACAAAAATTGGGAATTTTGGTTAAAAAAAATGCTGAAAAGTTGCTGAAAAGGCAGAAGTTTAACCTACCAGAAGAAAGTGGAAGTAGCTGAAATGAGCTAAAAAAAACTGTGGAATAAGCTGAAAAAGCTCAGTTTTGAACAATAACAGCTAAATAACTTAAATTAGCAGAATAAGCTGAAATTAGCCGAAAAAAATTGGGCTGAAAGTAGTACAAATTACCATGAAAACCTGAATTTATCTGAAAATAGTTGAATTTAGCTAAAAAATAAAAAAATTAAAAAAAAGCTGAAAGGGTAGAACAAGCTTAAATTAGCAGAAGGAAATGGAGAAACACAATTTTAACCAACTGATCTGAAAGGAGCAGAAATGAGCACAAAAAATTGGAAATTATCTGTAAAAGCTGAAATTGGCTAAATAAAAACCCAGCTGAAAAGTAGCTAAAAATCAGAAAGAAGCTGAAATTACAAGAGTGAAGTGGAGAGAGCTCATTAAAAAACACAGGATCATTTATGACCCCCGAGCGTGAGTCATCCACACCGAGGCAGGAAAGCAAAACTTATCCGAGGGTTTCAGCTGGACTCTGTGGTCTGAAGGCAGAGCAGACGTGGAGGTCCAGATATCCGATGGGCAGAAGAATGTGTCTTGGAAGCAAAGGAGAGGACGAAGTGGGCCAGGAACAAAAACGCTGAATTACCTCTGGCATGAGGCATCAGACAAGTGCAGCGCACAAAATAAATAAATAAGTAATAAATAAAAGCACAGCTGCTGCAGCAGGTTGGGGGCTGACTGGCCATCGGAAGCATCAGGACATTTCCCGGTGGCCTGGCCGTTCGCAGAGGGGGACTAAAGGCTCGGTTCTGGTTTAAAATAAACATTGATGCTCATGCAGCCTGTATCGTTTGTCAAATATTACAGTATTTAAATTTAAATTGTTTATTTACACAGAAGGAGGGAGACTGGGAGTGACAGGTGATGACTGATTGCAGCAGAGAGCGAAGCTCATGACAGTAGGGAGGTTCTCCCTGCACCTGTGGGCTGCACACAGGTGCAGCAGGTGCTAAATCATTAAAATAATTTATTTTATTCCATGCCGCTCATCCATCAATCAGCCAATTGTGTGTCATGTCCAATCTTATTTTGAAAAACCGTGAAGTAGCGAGGGACTACTGTAGTTAGCAGAACAGCTAAAGTTGCACCAATCCCAAAAGTCACAGCAGGATTGTCCTGAAAGAGCCGAACGTTTTGATCCATGATTTGTTGAAATAGAACAAAAGTTGTGGAACAAGAAAGACGCTGCCAAACTTCCAGAAGAAAACGGATCACAGTCGAGTGAACGCTTCATTAAACTTTAGCTCCTCACAAGTTAAACCCTGGTTCCTGAAAGTTTCTGCTTCTTGTTTGAGAAGGACGTGTGACTCTTTGTGTTCAGGAGTGTGAGGAGGACCCGTGTTGTGAACATCAGACGTGTAAGCTGAAGTCCGGAGCTCAGTGTGCGTACGGAGAGTGCTGCTACAACTGTCGGGTAAACGCGAGCCCCGCTCAGACGAGGAGTTTAATGTTTGGAGGTGTCCGACTCTCAGGGTCCTGTTTGTGTTTAGTACCTTCCAGGAGGAACAATGTGTCGCTCTGGTAAAGACGAGTGTGATCTACCGGAGTACTGCAACGGCTCTTCGTCCTTCTGTCAGAGCGACGTCTTCGCCCAGGTGAGACTGACGCCCCGCCTGCTGGTGGACTCCTGGGGGGAGGGGCTGACTTGGTCTTGTGTTTCAGAACGGGCAGCCGTGCAGGAACCAGCAGGCCTACTGTTACAACGGGAAGTGCCAGCACCACGACGGCCAGTGTCACGCCTTATTCGGAACCAGTAGGTTCTCCGCCTGCTTTCACGTTCACTCACAGCTCCTCACATATGTTCTTCATCATCTGTCCTCTTCGTCGTCTCCTCTTCGTGCTCCTCCTCGTCTTTAGAGGCGCAGACGGCTCCTGAAGTCTGTTTCAAAGAAGTCAACAGTAAAGGAGATCGCTTCGGTAACTGTGGCTACCAATACTACGGCTACAAGAAGTGTGAGAGCAGGTGAGAGGCTTCTGCCTGCAGCAGGAAGTGCGGCCTATCGTCCAGTCCTGATCACATGACCCCGTCCTGGTCTCCATAGAAACGCTCTGTGCGGGAAGCTGCAGTGCTCCAACGTCCAGAAGGTGACTGTCTTCAACATCGAGCCGTCCATCATCATCACGCCGATCGGCGGAGCCAAGTGTTACGGCGTGGACTTCATGCTGGGCTCGGACGTCCCCGACCCGGGCATGGTGAACGAGGGGACCAAGTGTGGGGAAGACAAGGTGAGGAGGACTGGGGGAGGAGCGGGAACGATGAGGAGCAGGTGATGGAGCAAGTTGTGTGTGTGTGTTCAGGTGTGTATGAACTTTGAGTGTCGCAGCGCTGAAGTCCTGAACTACGACTGCGACGTGGAGAAGAAATGCCACGGACACGGGGTGAGATCCGAGGGTCGTACCTGTCTGTCAGGTGTGTCACATGACCCCGGTCTGACTGGTCTGTGTTTCAGGTGTGCAACAGTAACAAGAACTGTCACTGCGAGAGCGGCTGGGCTCCGCCCTTCTGTGAGCTCTCGGGTTACGGAGGCAGCGTGGACAGCGGACCCACGTGGAACGGTAGGTCACCTGCTGCGCTCAGACTCACGCCTGAGGACCGCTCGGCTGCCCGGCGCTGACCCCGTCTGTCCTCTGCAGATAAGGACACGTCTCTCAGGGACGGCCTGCTCGTCTTCTTCTTCTTCATTCTTCCTCTGCTCGCTCTGGGAGCGTTTGTTTTCCTGCGCAGGAACGAGCTTCTGCAGCGCTTTGGGCTGAGCCGCAGGAAAAGGTCGCAGGGATACCAGTGAGTGCGAACACACGACACGCATGATCACAGGAACATGTTTGAGCTTATTTAGCCCCGCCCCTTTTTAAACCGCTCCAAGATATCCTCACAACTCATGTATGCTACCTGCAGCTCAGGGGTTGTTCGCGTGGCGTTCACTGACCTGACGTTTGTGTCTTCAGGGCGGACAGCGCTGCTTCAGCCAATCCCAGCAGAGGACCGCCTCCCAGAATGCAGCCGCCGCCCGTTGCCCGTGGCAACTCCAACAACATACTCAGAGACGGGGTGAGTCTAAATCCCAGTCCTGGTCATAAAGTTCTGAAGGTTTGTGACAGAAAATGTGAAGTTTTAAAGTTTCACACTGCCTGTGATGCTGCTGATCAGGAGGACGAGGAGGAGGATGTGTCGGTGAGAAGCGGAGGAGTCCTGATGGACGTTTTTACTTCAAGTTGTTTTCTCGTTAGACTGAAATGTGTAATCAGCTGATCGATAAGTGCTGACCTTCAGGATCACTCGTTAAATCACATCGTTTAATCAGGAAATGGATCCTTTATGAATCAGCTGCTCTTTGATTGATCAGCTGATTGATGTCAGTAGGTGTGTGTGTGTGCGTGCGTTACAGAGACTGTGCACGTTGTTACTAAAAACAATCATGTTTTCTAACGTCTGTTCTTTCTAACTAGCATCATGCTCAGCTGCTTCCACCGCATGAGGTAAAATCACATCACTGCACTAATGAGACTAAACTAACGTTGTTGTTGTTGTTGTTGTTGTTGTTGTTGTTGTTGTTGTTGTTGTTGTTGTTGTTG